ATATATATATATTGAAAGCCCAAAAAGGCTAATATATTAAATAGAAAGAAAGATACAGATACAATGTGTGGGAGGCCCAAGCATGGCACCCTGCCCACACAAAAACCACAAATGATTCCAAAATTTAAGAAAAAAAAACTTAGATACTTAAATAAAAAACCTAATAGTGTCGAAATACATAGTATCAGGTGGCTAGAGAGCGACCCAATTTGGTCTTGTCTTTGCCTATAGTTCTAGGGAAGGAGCAAGCTAATGAGCTGGTAAGATGATCGTCATTGTCAGTAGTAACTAATGTATCATCCAATATGTTCCCGAGCTGGAGTCGACCTTCATTCTTCTTCTTCCTCCTGGAATAGGACTGTCATTCCTCATCTGAAGAATCAGTCTGATGGGGTGATAGAGCTGAAGCAGATGGAATATCAACCGTATTACCCACAATAGATTCTACTATATGTGAAGTATGAGTTGACTCTACACCGGATACTTTCTGAAGAAGCGGAGCTACGAGGTTCTCCTGATTATCAGTCTGAACACTATCATTTGTAGGTAATATGCCATCAGTATTGTTTTCTATGATTTCAAGGTGTCAGCATCACATCACTCGCAGTAACAGTAACAGCAGTGTCATGGGGGTCCTCAGGGGCAACAGACACAACAGACACCTCCTCTGGTAGTATCCTCTCTAGGTGGAACTAAACTAAACAGAGCAGTGGGGTTAGACTCATCCTTATTCACTTGACCTTAGATTTCAAATTTGGATGAAACTTGTGGCATTTATCAAGGACATGACCAAACATCTTATAGTGGGTAAAATATGGGGGCTTGTGCTTCATGATGATTTGTTGTCAATAACCATTATGGGTTGTGCCCAGCTAGACTTTAGTAACATCAGGTAAAGTAATATCCTTTTCTACAAGTATTCTGGCTACCGAGAGTTTGGTTAGGTTGAAAGTAGGTAGATCTAGCTTCCAGCAGTGGTTATAAGTGCTTAATTATCTTAATTTCTCATATATTTTAAACTTACCCAAACATTTAGCCTACCCTAAATTCTCTTCCAATGAGTTTCTGGAAGCTGGAACAAAGGCTAGAACGGAGAGCAAGTAGAGGAACATGTGAACAAAATAAAATAAGAGAAGAAGAAGAAAAAAAAAAGACGAGAACAATAAGAAAAGGAAAAGAACAAGATGAGGAAGAAAATGAAAAGAGAGAGTAAGAAAGTTAAGAAGTTTTAATTTAGAATTAATTTTTTTAGGTTTCTTTTGAAAAATCGATTTCAATTCAAGATTGTAGGTTTTTAATTTCACTTGAATGAGTAGTAATTTTACCAAAGAGCCCTTGTCGACAGGGTAAATAATAAAATCGTGAGATTTACAGATTTTAAAATACAAAATATTTTTTTTCAATATTTTGCACATATAATTATATGAATAGTAGATTGATAGTTGAATGCATAGTATAAAATCTTTATATTCTTGAATGCATTTTTAAAGACTCTTGTCATGAGCAAGAAAACCCCTAAATTTTTTGGTTGATAAAAGTACGCAAGTATGTGTATTTATGTTTTGTTAGTTGGTGATATTATTTATAAAAAATATATAATTAATGCACGTACCTTATACATTTACATATGTTGCTATTTAATAGATTTCAACAGGAATCACATGTTTATTAGAATAACTAATTATGAAATATGTGGAGTTTAAGAAATATTATCATATGGGGGATAAATTGGCGGTGATATGTTTATGTTACATGTGTAGATAGGAACAAAAGTCTTCTATAGAGGAAAAATGATCCTCAAGCTAATTTAATCGTGATAATGCTGGATTTTGTTAGTTGGTGAAACTATGTATAAGAGATATGTAATTAATGCATGCAACTTATTCATCTACATATGTTGTTATTTAATAGATTTGAACAAAAATCACAGGTTAACTAAAATAACTAATTATAAAATATGTGGAATTTAAGAAATATTATGTTATTGGGAATAAATTGGCGGTGATATGATTATGTTACATGTATAGATACAGACAAAAGAGTCTTCCATAGAGGTAAAATGATCCTCAAGCTAGTTCAATATTGATAATGCTAGATTTTACTTTGCTTATATTGAACTTCATAATGTAACATTTAGGCTGAATTATGATGATCAATAACTTAGATTATTGCATGACATATTCTAAAGCTAAAATAAAATTCAATACATTAAAAAATCATTATGCAAAAACATAATTTGATATTTGTAAATAACTTATACTCATTTTTTAATACTTTTTTAACGAATAGCACACATCTTGTTTACTATTTTTCAATATTTGAGATCTATATTAGATTTATTAACTTGTTAAGTCTCATAGCTTATTAGATTGTTATGATTACTCTTACAAAAATAAATAAATAAACAAATTTGAGACTGAGCGGAATCAAACTTATTTTTTTAATTATATTTTCTTATACAGTTATTATACTTTACAAGAAATGGGAATGATAAAAAACTTTTAACTCAAGGCAATAGATGAGCTGTATATTTTATGTTAAAAAATTTTACGAGTTTTAGATGCTCTAGAGTTTAATTTTAATGATATAGTTAGATTGTTTTGCTTAATTTGAATTATTAGAGTACACTGGATTCGAGTAAATAAGATAAACATTTATGTACTGTTTCATGTGAATTTTAGTGATTGAGCATATCTCTCAATCAATTCTGGTAATAATATCATAATTGATATTGAAAGTGTATTCATTCAACTAAATCACACTCGTATCAGTACGTCCCGCATCAACTGATGAAAATTGTCATCATGGGACTTGACAATATAGACATCAAGTTAAAAAATACAAGTCTAAAAAATAGATAAACGATAAAGCTTATAACCACACTTAAGGTGAGAGCTTATATTTCTAATTTATGGTACTATGGTTGATTCATCAAAAACAAATGTATTAGATAATATTGATACTTTTTTAGATAGATAGATAACACAAATGTGCTCATGATTTATTTATTCTATTGAATAAATTGTTCATATTGAAATGAATGACAGATTCTCTCAACATATTTTAATTATATATATACACAATTATAAAAATATATTGAATAATATAAAAATGTCAGTGAAATAAACTAATATAGAATGCTTGTATATGCATGTTAACTGAAGGAGTTCACCTACTTTAGATATAGAATGTTTGTATGTGCATGTTAACTTATGGAGTTCACCTACTTATGATACTAACTAATGATACTATGTTACCTCTGTACATAAACTGAAAAAAAAAATATTAATATTGAGATAACTCAAATGACACACATTTTTAATACTACTCCTAAAATGAATGTAATATATAACATAATATAAATAGCATAAGATATCATACAGAATAATAGAATACTCTAACAATTTTTAAATGATTATTTTTGAATAACTAAACTGTCAATTTTTTATATATTTATTCACAGTATTTGATAAACATGCCCAATATTTTTTATTTATATTATATTATTAGAATTTTATTAGTATAAGCATTTACTGAGTTCTTGATACCTCATAACATTAACTAATGTTTTTAAAATCTCTTGATAGAAATTGAGTGTAATGAAGATTAAATATTTATAGAAGATGTGGTCAAATAAGTTAACAATAACTAAATTTATAATCATTTTACTTTAAAATGGTTTCTTTTTTTCAATGATTCTTTTGATTTAATAGATAGTTACTTTTATAATTTAGTGATAAAATTTGAATTTCGAATTTTCAATCCGATTGTCCGTTCTAAACTAGTGATTCTAAGCCCCTAAACAGAGTCATGACAATATTTATATTTATAACACTCAATAAACCTTTTTAATGTCTTCTATTTGGTGAATATTTTCAAAATCACTTCCTCAAATAATTTCGTGTCATTTTATCCTAAAATAAAATCACCACCTCTAATAAAATACCATGATGTTGATATTATGTTGATCAACAAATTGGCATATTTTCCTTCATTGGATTGGTATATATATACTAGATAGAATTGTTTCTAAAAAAAGCTCAAAAGATTGAAAAATCCTAAGCATTATTTGTGTGAAAATCTGTAGGCACCTTTATTTAGCCATCTCCCTACCAAGATGAGAATTCAAGATAAATCATGGCCAATAAGATAGCATAACTAAATGTTTTACTAACAACTGATAATGCATGCTGTATGAAATCCTCATATAAATGAGCATTAGGTGATTTTCTTCTCAACAGAAAATATTGCTTGGCATTATTTGCATGCTTAAATCATGGAAAACCAATAAACATTTCCTAATGGAGCAAAAGATAGACAGCAAATGGCTCAATTCCATTGTTTCTGATTATTAAGCATTTAAGATGGAAGCCAAAAATTCAGAAAATTAAGCATTTAAGATAAACATAAAAATATTAGAATGAACGAATAAGAGCAAAGACCGTACAGCTGCTGTACATGTAGGTACCCATTATTTGCAATAGGATAGCAAAATATGCCATTCCAATTTGATGTGCATGGGTCACCTCTGTTCCAAGAATTGAGATTACCAATTGGATCATTCAAACTGTTTCTAAGAGCTTTTAGTGCCTTAACTGCACATCATGAAAGCAGATAATCCTTAATCATTAATAATTATTTGACAAGAAATAGCCAAAATAAAATTTATTTAAAATTACTTCATTCATAGTTTACACCAAATACTCAAAATCTTTACATAGTTACAAATAAAATCACTTAAGAGAACTTATTAATTTTAATTTTGAGCATAAGCATATCATTTCAAGCATGTATGGCCTTTTGTTTTCAAGACATTTGCATACATAGCACACAATTCTTATGTATTTACATATCTCACACCTAAACTTGTGTGCTGCAAATTTTCCTTTTTTTAGCATGTAAAGTTAGGTAAGCACTCACAAACATCCATACATAAAAGATGAATGATTACAAACTTAGCTCTCAAAGATAATAGTTGATATCATATAGATTAGCTAATGCCTATGAGACTAATGAACCCATAATTGCAACAAGTGTTGCAGTGTTCTTTTTATTGTTTTTTTACTTTATTTGGAACAGTGAGCAAAAATTTACAAAATGTGTGGCTTCAGCTCATAATCTTAAAGAGACAATGTTCTCCAACCAAGCAGTAGGCCACAGATCTTTTTTCCGCAAAGTTCTTACTGGCCTATATTACATACTCGTCTATAGGATATCAAAATCAAACCAACTAAATCACCTTATAATTAGCTTTGGAGATGCGCCGAATTGAGAAATTATTTGTTAAGATTAAAGAGTGTACCTTTCAACCACAATGAATATTCCTAGGTTTTATAGTTTATGAATAGGAAGTAGAAGCTGGCCCTATCATAATTAAAACAATCCCTAATGGGCCAAAACCTGAGGGGCCATTTTGGAAGCAATTTTGAATTTTTTTTCTTTTTTTTCTTTTTTATTTTTATTATGTTTTTTTTTATGTTTTAATTTGAAACAAATCACATTTGGTATGTTCTAACATGTTTAGTTGTTTTTAAAAACACTCAAAATAACTTTAAAATATTTTGAGTGCTTTTAAAAAAAGTTAATATGTTTTTGAAAATAAAATACAAATCATGAAAAAAATTGCACTAAACAAATATGTTTTTAAAATAAAAGAAAAAGCAAAAAACAAAAGTGATCCCAAACAAGCCCTAGGTTAATTTTGGATGTCCGCATTTTTCATGACATAGCCAAGTTTTATAGAAAACTTGTTAAATGATTAATTTAAATTAATGCATCTCTAACTGATATCCTGAAAGACAAAAAGAAAACTCTATTGTTTTAACTGATACAATAGCAATCAACCTTACATGGTTACAAAAAATAAGAAAGATATACATGCATACCACATAATTCTTATCCATAAACATATCCAACATCTAAACGTCAACTTTTACATATATGCCACCTTATGTTTGAAAAGGTTCATTTCATCTTTTAAAAGTTAAAATAGTGATATTTTAATGTGATATGAAATATTTGAAGGGGATAAATAAAATAATCAAATTTTAGGTGTTAGGCATGTAAACACATAAGAATTCATGGTATGTATGTAAATACCCCAAAAAATAAAAAATTACCAATATCCCAGTCCTAAGAGTTACCAGATCTAACTTTTTTAGAATGCTTGGCATCTGAGTCAAGAAGGCCATCCCACTGCTAAATTGTTAAGAAGCCCAATAAATCAATGCAGAGGTATTCAAATTGTGATCAAGGGTTCTATGAATATATTCAAGGTTAAAGATATAAATACCGTGGTAATCACAACAGTTAGTACTCTACTCTGAAAACCAACTCTCAAGTACTTTCTAGTAGTGAAGAAAAAGAAGTTAATGTTTTGACCAGGTGAACATGCTAATGATTTCCAAAAAAAAAATTGTTTCTAATTTCAGAAGAATTAAAGATGGATCTTCTTTATATTCTAATTTTTCTACCATAAAAGTTCTAAATTATTAGATTTTGCTGCTACATAAGATAAATTTCACATTAAATAAAGGATAAATTTAAAGGGGCATATGGAGGCATGTGCACCTAATTTTTTATGTCTTTATAATACATGTTTATATGTCAATGTAATTTGATGTTTGGAATATTTACTTACATACCACTTAATTACTATGCATTTACATATGTAACACCTAAATTTTAATCTTTGCATAAATTTCGTTTTAACTATGCATTAAAAGGTGTATTTCACTTGTTAAAAGTTAAATAGTGATTGTTTTGATGTGATATGAAAAATTTAGGTGGTATAAATGTAAAAAGTAAACTTTCGGTGTTAGATGTGTAAATATATAAGAATTGGGTGGTATGTATGTAAGTTCCCATGATGTTTGTCAAAAGTGAACATTCAATTCTCCTATGCTCACCCACTCCCAGCCCCACCAGATCACTAAAGTTCATTTATGTGCCGTTATTAAAAAACTTTTCAGACTCTGCTGTTACTCTAAATAGTAATGCCCACGGCTGGAAAGTTGAAAAAAATTTCCAGGTCCTGTAAACAATTATATGAAGAAAAATAATGGATTGCACACAATTGAGATACTACATAGATGACCATAGATACAAAAAAGCACAATAAATATAATTCAAAATTTTCATATCACCTCAAAAATATCACTATTTTAACTCATGAAAGGTGAAATACACGTTTTTACGCATATGTAAGGAGGAATATATGTAAAAATTAAAGTTCAGGTGTTAGAAATGTAAATACATAAGAATTGAGTGGTAAGCATGTAAATCTTCCAATATATAATCAAGTATATCAACGCAAAAGGTACCAATAGTGCTGGTACTGTAAACAATCACTTTAAGCAGCATACCTTCCGTTGGATCAGTAACTTGTGCCCCAGCATTTTGTAGCAAGCAGCAAAACGGCACGATAAAAGAAGCTACAAAAATAGTAAACTTGGACTCATGCATCTTGCAACAGAGGCTATCTTTGTAGTTATCTTGAACTCCTACTTATTTGCCCTTCAGAGTCTGCTTTCCCCCAAGCAAAACAAGATATTAAAATCAAAAGAGCCTATCTAGAAAATTATTAATCAGGAAAAGAAAGATTAAAATGATGGCGCCAAAAAAAAAAAAAAAAAAAAAAACTGAAAAGGTCGCATGTGGCGAAGGGATAAAACATGTAAAATATAGTAAAATATGAGAGAAAACCCAATCTTCAGAACTTCATTAACAATTACAGAATAAAAACAGTGAAGATCCGCCAAAAGAATTAAAAAAAAAAACAGATCAAACAAGCAAAAAATACTCAAAATGGACCTCAATCATCAAAGTCAAACAAACGGCAAGTAAGTTTTGTAAGATAGCCAAATAGAAGAAATGGCTTCGATTAGTCTGTGAGGGCACACGCAAAACTTTGTCCTGTTCTATTGGATGTGTAAACCCTACTCATCATTTGAATCCTTTGTGAGTAGATCATCTTCAGTTTCATTTCATTAGCCTTATGGGTAAAGTCAATCACTTACAACCGCATAAACAGATAAAACAACGGCCAAAAAGCAAATCACAAAGAGACTGTGTGCAAACCTTTTCTACTCAAGAAAAAAAAAACAACAATGATCCAAAATCAGCCCAAACTATTCTAAAAACGTTTGGTTTTATCGGGAGAAAAAAACCATAGAATTCTAGAGGAATATATCGTATTGCGGCAAACGTACAACTTCACGGAGCGCAGGGCTAGCACAGAGCTCGAGGAGAGTGAGATGACGTAGGGTTTAACAAGGCCATCAGCAATTTCATGAAAATGAAGGAAGGAAGGTTTTCCCTTTCACGCTTTCCTTAATTTTCAAACATACTTGCCTGGCCGGCGGGTAAGCTCGACACAAGATGATTCGTTATTAAAGCTTCTTACAACTTGATAAAAAAAAACAGGATATGGGAAACGGGAGAAGCGGGGTGAGGACGAGGTCAGAGGGGATATATGGTTATAACGGCTATGGGCACAAAAAACACATCCAAGCACTACCTTTGTTTTTTCTTTTTTTCTTTTTTTTTTTTAATGAGGATATCGACCAATTTTATTCAAAAAAAATAATATATATATATATATATATACATATATATATATATATATATATACTCAAGAATTACATGACACAAAACAAAAAATAACTTAGAGCATAACTCGAAACAAATAAATACAATAAAAAAAATATAACAAAAAGACAAAAAAAATAAAAAACAAAATTCTAAGGATTTGACTCAAACATCAGGCAAGACAAAGCACCACGAACGGCTGATGGATCATTCAAGAGTCACACTAGACTGCACCTGCAAAAGAAAGAAAAAACAGGAAAGAAAAAAGAAACAAACAGAGAAGAGAATAAAAATTGGAAACAAAAATAATAAAGTATATAAATATAAATGAACATAAATATTCAAAAGATCGGTTAAAATTTAATATATTGTTGAAATTCATCATTACTTAACAAACTCGAAATTGAGAGAAAAATCAAGTGAATAATCCGATCTAAATCAGATAAATCTTAATAGGAGCCACAAACCACAAGAGAAGTAAATACAACTACAATCAGCAAAAAATATATATATATATAAATGAATCCAAAAAATTGTTAAGAAAAAAAAATAAATAGCATGGGAAAATATAAACCACAAAAAACCAATCAAAAAAACAAAGAACAGTAAAATTTCTCAGTTGAAAAATTGAAGAATAAAGACCAACAGATACAGAAAACAAATAAAAATAAAGCCGCACTCAAAGAAGAGCAAAAAAAAACATAAAGAGAAATAGATAACATATAAATTAAATTTCCATTCATAAAATAAGGAATATAAATATTCCAAAGAATGATTAAAATCTAATATAAGAAAGTGAAAAAACCAACCAAATCAAAACAAGAAAGCTAACCAGAGATAAATAAAAGAATGGCTACTACAATCCAGAATGCTAAGCAACAGAAAAAAGTAACCCTGATAACAATGTTTAATAATATGCATGATTCTTAAAATTATTTTATTCTATATTTAAAATTCAAAATTTTATATTCACACACAATTACAAATTATTAAAATATCACCTTCTTCATCCTACTATTAATATATTACACATAATTTGATCATTGTCTTTCTCTCTTACATATTCCCAATGATATGGTCCTTCATCAGTTAAATCCTATTGAGACCTAAGCTCTTTCATTTAGAAGACTTACATTTCATTTACGTCCTCTGTATTTACATATTTAACACCTAAATTTTAATTTTTATATACACATCACCTTATTTATGCGTACCATGGATGTTCATACAATCAGTATTGATGTACAACTTTTTTAAGACTGCTTAGGATATTGTGGCACTAAATGTTGAGTAGGTTATTGCATATAATATTGATGATATGATGAAACTTGAGATGCCATTAACAATGAAATGGGTTAATAAGGAGAAGTTGAAGTTGAACCTGGAGTCATCCAAAATGACAGCATAGAAACATAAGATATAACAATCATTTGGATTGTGCTGAATAACCCTTTTCATAAACTTTTTAGTTTTTGTCAAATCATAGCCATGGGTGGTGAAGAATATCTTTGTGCATTTCTTGATTTAAACAGTTATTTAATTAGCCTCATTCTTCCAAGAATACAAGTTCTAGAAGCTCTTTCAAACTTGCCAATATCTTCCTCCATCAAAATCACACCTTCGTCCAATGCATATGGATAAATTCTTCTCGGAATTCTTAAAATAGAAGTAATATGCTATATGTAAAGTTAGGTGGCCTCAGTGCAACATTTTCTTAAATGGCCATGAATCCGTTTATGCTATTTGGATCTTTGTTGTTAAAGCATCTCTATTTGGACATTTTTGTAGTAATCATTAGTTTATACTTGTTTTGTTCATTTATAACACTATGCAAGAAAGACATTGTTTTTGTGTTGTATTGTTTCACATTTAAGAGGTTCGAAGTTGTGTTGTATTTGATTTGTTATTAAAGGTGTAAGAGATTGTTTAGTAAGAAGACTTTGGACTGTACTATTATTTTTTTATTTATATTTAACAATATATTGGATTTCTGTAGTAATAAAATGTCAAATAAGACCAAAGAAACAACTACACCTGCATTATGGGCAAAAGAGATCAAAATATTTTCTTGTGACATTTGCATCAAGGAAATAGAACAGAGAAACATGACAACAACTTTTTTCAACAAAGAAGGCTGGCAAAATATCACAAAAATGTTTAAGGAACTTACAGACAGAGAGTACGACAATATGCAATTGAAGAACAAGTGAGATTAACTAAATAATGATTGAAAAATATGTAAGGAATTGAAAAGATGCTCAACAGGATTGGGGTGGGATATGGTGAAACGAAAAATAGATGCACTCGAGGAGTGGTGGGCTGAAAGATTTACGGTGAGCATTGTTCGAAACATTTGTTAATTAGTCACTCTTTAATTTTTTTTTCTAACTTTGTTTCTGCTAAATTATATTTGGGGGGTGTCGTTGCAAAAAAATTTAAGATTTATGGAATTGAACCTGAATTGGAGGAAAAGCTCGATCTTGTGTTTGGGGGATGGTTGCAATGAGGAACTGTGCATGTTGCCCAAGCAATGTAGGGTTTTCTGCCAATCCCGTGGATTTGGGAACCCCTAGAGGTTCAGGTGATCTCGTTGAAGTCCCCAGTCCGGAACAAAACGAGTATGATTCCACTCCTCATCCCAAGTGTCCAAGGGTAGATAATAGAAGAAAAACAAGTTCTAGTTTTCTTAGAAATCAAATTTCCCAGCTGGCGTCTACTTAAAATGCAAAATAGCATACTTCTCCTTCAACCACTATCAAGGAGACACTTAAAATCTTATATGCTTCAAGTGAAATATATGAGGATGAAGTGTTGTATCTGTTCGTAATAGAGTTGATAAAGGACCATGTACATAGAGATATCTTTGTGAAGATGTTTGTTGCTCGCAAAGTGTCATATCTTCGACGTTTTCATGATCGTCTGAATATTTGAGTTTTGGAATATGTCATCGCAAGAACATATCTAACAATTTTTTTTTCATTTTAATTTTCTAATATTGTACTTGTAAAGTCTTTAGTTCTTTCTTTTTTTATTATGCATATGTCATCACAAGAACATTTTTAATTATATGTTGATGTCTCATTTATTTATTTCTGAAACATTTAAGTTTGAGTAACTCATCAATGTTTTGGGTTTATAGTGCAACATACGGTTCATCATGGATGCAAATAGAAGAGGAAATGTATCAGTCAACATGGATGCAAGGAAAAGAAAGCACATAAAGATATTACTGACTGTCATATGCTTGATCTACAAGTACTATAGCTTGTACATTAATTAATCATCATGCATGACATCTTCTTACATTAGCGACAAATTAGTTGGGGAGTTGCTTGCAGGGCACCCAACACAATTTATTAATATGTTCCGAATGTGGCAAAAAGTATTCATTGATCTACTGTAAGAGCTCATAGGAGCTCGCAAACTTCAAGGATTTACCAGGACCACTCCACGTGAAGTGCTTGCAATAATAGTGTACATACTATCCTAAAATGAGTAAATACGAGGGGCGATAGAGCGATTTTAACACTCATCGGAAACGATTAACAGTTACTTCTCAATCAGATTGGGCACACTTATTATTGTTTCCTCTTATCTCATCAAACTCTTAGATCCTAAGTTCGAACGGACACCTACTGAGATATTACATGATGCGCGATATATGTCCTTCTTTAAGTAATGCCTCGAGAGCAATATGGTTTTTTTTTAAGATGCAATGTTATTTATTACCTAAATTTTGTGCTATCAGGACTGTATCAGCGCAGTTGACGGAACACATGTTAATGCACAAGTCCGAAATGTTGATAAGGTTGCATTCATCGGTCGTTGCGTTAGCCCGACTTAAAATGTCACGGTGTTTGTGATTCTAACATGTGTTTCACTTTCGTTATGACCGGTTGAGAGGGCAGTGATACACCTAAAATATATAATTTTTATATACACATTTTTATACTTATTTTTGTGATATTGCACTTTAATGAAAGATATTGATGTGTTTTTCTTTCAGTCACAATTAAATTGATGAAAAATGGTGAAAGAAGTGAAAAATGATTAAATTTGGAGCAAAAATGAAGGTGTGCAAAAGAACTGCGGCACCTAAGCGCCCAGAACTGGCGCTTAAGTGCCAGTAAAACTAAGAAGACTGGGTCTAAGCGCAAAGTGCCTCGCGCTTAAGCACCATACGTAGTTACTTTGTGATTCAATGAATTTGGATGAATTTTGAAGAGGTGTTTGAAGTAACTATTGGTGAAAACGTTGGAAATAGTTAATGGAAACGTTGGAAATTGTTAATGGACACAAAAATACATTCAATTGGCTTTTGGAATGAGGCAACTTTTGGAAGATTCATTGAATGTGGACACATTTTGAAGAGACACCAAAACACTTTTTGAAAAATTATAAAAGACTTGGATTGGATTGAAGAGGGCTCTCTCCGACGCCTCCCCCTAACCACTCTAGAGCTGTTGCCCCCCCTCTAGAAACCGTTGATGCCTCTCTCTCTCTCTTAAATTAAATAGGATACTTTTAGAGAGATGAAGAGATAAGTTGTAGTGAGTGAGTAGAGAGTATTGTAAGAGAAAGGAAGAGAAGAGATGAGATTCAAAGAAACTTTAAGAGTCAAAGAAACTTTAAGAGTTTGGTGGAGAGAATTTGAGATAATTTTTTATCTTTGTGACTATATTTGGTTTTAATTTAGACTTCTTGTTTATTTGCATTATTACTACTTTCAAACTTAAGTGTGTTTGTTTTTTCTCCATGAATTCTTAATAGTTTTATTTATCTTTTTTCTTAAAATGATAAGTGATTAAGTATTGGATGGAAGTTGTGTGAAGTATTAATCTTTAATTTTGGAATAAGTTGTG